CATGCTCAACGCTCGGCCCAATTTGCTACGGTTGTTTTCATTGACGGCTTTCAGCTCACACGGGCGCGCATTTCACGGCGAAAGGCTACCTACCGCTGCAGCAGCTATCGGCGGACGGGCTGCCGAGCTAAAGCTGAACGGACGCCACTACAGGATGCGTACACCGTCCTTGTCGAGCACACCTGCCAGCTTTGGGTTGCATTCGCTGCACAAGAGGCCAACGTCATCGAGGAGATGAAGCGTCGAATTGACGCTCTTGCAATTTCGGAGCTGTCGAGTACTGCTCGTCACGTGTGGGATATTGTCAGTCAAGAGCTCTACACTGAAGCAGAGCCTGGCCGTGCTGTCGTCGGTCTCACGCGAAAGCAGGTGATCACTCGTGTGTTTAATACAAGGCGCAATCACTACGGCGGAGAAGTGCATGGGCGTCTGGAGATACCGCCACTGTCACTGGTGAAGAACTCAACTCTTCGTTTTTTTCAGTTCCATCACATCTACTACGAAGACATGCAGCGAAACCCAAACCAGCCGCAGAGAATTATCGGGTGGGCTCATCCCGAGTTAATCCGTCTGCTAATGTACGCTGGCACAACGATCTTCGTGGACGCAACATTCCGTTGCGTCCCATCGCAGTTTCGGCAATGCGTGGTTATCATGGTACTCGACCAGGCAACTGGGCTCTATGTCCCTATTTTCTACATCCTCTGCACGTCGAAACACAAGATACGTATTGGAATATCTTCAACTTCATCGTTGAATGCACCGACGAGAAGATTCGACCGGCGGCGATAGTATGCGATTTTGAGGCTGCTCTTATCAATGCTGTTGCTGTGCAATTTCCAGAAGCACAGCGCATCGGCTGCTTTTTTCACTTCAAGCAGGCGGTGAGGCGAAAGATGAAGAAGCTGGCGATTCCTGAGGCTCAAATTCGAATTGCTATGCAACCTGGTGTTCTTGATATGCTTACCGTTATCAAACGGAAGCATATCAAGACGAAGGGTGTGCGCTTTGTTCAGCAGAGTATTCGGGAGAAGTGCGATGAAGCTGGCATCGTCTACTCTGCAACTAAGTGGGAACCAATCTGGCGTTATTTTGCCAAGGTGTGGATCAAAAAATACGGTCCTGAAGTTTGGAACGTCCATGGACTTGATCGTGGCCTGGTGAACCGGACTAATAATCCGTTAGAACGTTTTAATCGGGAGATGAACGGGGCATTCAGCGCACCACACCCCACGTTACCTGTTTTCGTAAGCACAATTGAGCGGCTAGCACGTGGACATGTACAGCGCCGCCTGGACACTCCCTCACGAGCACGCAAGCGCCCCCGCTACGACGTTCAATTGCCACGTGCAGTTGAATTTGAATCGACGGACGAGTCTGACGCTGCTGAGGAAGGTGCCAACGACAGCGACGAAAATGCCCACGAGTTTCCGTTCGAATACGAGGGTGACGACGCGAGTGATTCTGCAGTAGTGTAGGCTGGGGCATTGCAACAGGTGTTTCACGAGGACTCACCTGCAGTAGGAAGTAGGTTAGATATGATACGTGTCTGGGCTGCTAGGAAGGTTTCCTCGTTTTGTTCCGAGCCTAGCAGCAAATAAAAAGCAGCAATCCTTTGAATTCACTGTCGGTCTGGTCTCGCAAATTGGTCTCGAGACCCGATCGAGACCAGACCTGTAGGTGACCCAGTTTAAATTCTTCCAAACCCGCGCCCTCGGGGAAAGCACCTCCTTCCGTTACAACCGTTCTCTTCTTGATACCGGAATTAACGTGTCTTCTGCAACCGTGTAAAAAGTACCTTTCAAGTCAAAACCGTAAGAACGGCGGAAGGCGTAAAATCTCGCACATGATACTCAAGCAATAGCGCGCTTTAACTAAGATGCTGTTTTGATGCCAAACTGGTTAATTTTGTTGGTGCTGCAGACTTTCTACGGGCCACTGGTTGCAAAAAATTGATCGGTTGCAAAAATACCGTTAATTCCGGTAATCAGCTAAGCCTTCGGGTCCTTCGCGTACCCATTGCGCACGTTCTCTTTCAAGCCGATCCCGTAACAAATACTGGGAGTAAGAAGGCATAGTACAATCGATCTGCAGAGTTGAATCAAATGAACGCGATACTTTTCTTGAAGCTGGAGTCGTATCCGAGATCGTAAACGTGCCATCTTCGATACATCCAGGCCGTAGCGCAACTATAGTTGCTCATATAGCAGTGCGGCCACGTCTTTCGAGCTATGTCCGTCGTTTTTTAATTATGCAATTAGAGCAAGCTTGCGAGGATTCCACTCGCGATCTATGAAAGTGACTATTACTACAAAAATAGATCCGGGCTAAACTTAGTCATATCCGCAACTCCGGCTATCCAGGAAGGACGCGTGGATACAACGTTAAATAAGGCGGTCGAAACGAGTGTTTAATTCCAGTGGCTTTCTGTGGTTGTGGATCAGTTCGAAATTCCCCCTTTTGTGTGGAACGCAGTATAGGCAGACAGAAGCGCGGGGCCAGCGACGCGTCTGAGGAATCTGCGTACGACCTCATGGACGACGATAACAATGTCGTTGCTAAATCAAACCCAAGGACACAGCAGCCTCCCTATTCGTCGCGTGCACTTCATGTCACGTGTCCAAGTCTTCTGGATAAAATGTTTGCATCGGTCACCGAATATGATTCTTATTTTGCTACGTATTGCGAAAGGACATTTCAGGTATAGTGTTGGTTCGGAGGATATCGGATTAGGTATCGAAACTAGTTCTGATATTATTAGTGAGTTTGGAGGAGTGAAAAACTCCTCAGAATTGGAAAGCTAAATTTAGATGAACCCATGCTACGATATGCAATATACAACAACTACAACGATCCCTCCTTGTGCTCTTCGTCGAGCTCTCGGCTCCACCCGCCCTCTGTTCAGCACAGCCACCGCCAAAAAACGGTCGTCTTTGCTCTATCATGCCTGG